CCCCCGCTGCCCCTGCGGGAGCCACACACACTCACCGCCACCCGTGCACTCAGCATCACGGCCAGGCCCGCACACCGAATTCCAGGGCGCATTGTATGTCAGAAGGAGAGAAAGGTTTTTCTCATTTTGAAATACAACAGAACAGCCCCGGATGCTGTTCCAAGCTCAAGGTGTTGTACCCTTCCGGTGGACGTGCCGTCAGCGCAGCAGAGCTTCCTGGTTGAGAAAAAATAAAAACAAAAGGTCACCTGTTCGCCAGCCCTTTTCCCTACCCCTGTATTTTCTCTCCTCCCCCTCCCCAATAAAAACAGAAAACACTAGAATTTATTTATATGTATTGATGTTGTAGGTCTAGGTGAAAAAAGTAAATGTTTCACTGCTCTATTTATATATAATGTCTGAATTATTCTGTGCAGGAAAGGCCAGGAAATTGCATGTGAAGTTCAGTGCATTCACCACCTCTGTGTGCCCGAGCTGTGGTCTCTTTCCCACTAAGATACAGATTTTAAATTGGGCTTGGGGCAGAGGGCAGGTCTGAGGCCTGCCTGACCCCGCGTCCCTTCCTCGGTCTGATGAAATGCAGTTTTTAGTGCAGAGAGGTTTTAAGGTGCAATATCTCTTTTCACGTGGTTTTAGAACCAAGCTCAAGGTAATAGGGCTTAGGGTCTTAGTCTGGTTTCAACCCCCATCCTTAGAGCACAAATCCATGGGGAGGCCTCTGCCAGGATGCCATGGGGCCTTTGGTGGGAACAGGTGAAGACCAGCAGTTACCTTTCTGGGGCTGCTGAGATTGGGGTGGAGGGGGAATGGCGGGGGGTGGGGTCAGAACCCTGTCACTGCACCTCTCCCTTCCTTCTGATGCTGGCAGCTTGGCCCTGGCCATTGATGGTGCAGCCTGTTGCTTGGCAACCAGTGACCCTGCAGTAGTGTCTGTCCAGTGTCAACTGCTCAGTGGGGTGACAATCCTGGAGTGTGGGGTCGAGTGTCCAAGAGGCATACACCCCCCTTGAAAACCTCTCTGCCAGTTACATTTGGTCTGGTTTTCTTTACTGTTGCTTCCCCTTTTTTAGTCCACATTATTGCTTTGAAACTTGGAATTCATACACTAATGGCTCTGGGTTCCTTATAAGGGAAAACAGAGAATGACTTATTCAGAAATTGGTTGAGTTCCAAAGATGTCATTCCAGCCACTTCTAGGGATATTGGGGAATCTTGTGAAATATTGACCTCGGGTCTCTCCAGCTATGCCCTCGCCCTCCTGTCTTCTGGATCTGCCTTCTGGATGGGTGATGAGGTTTGTGACTGATGCTCAGAGCCGAGGAGGCTGAGGGTGTGCACATGGGTGCACGGCTGTGTTCAGAAATGGCTCAGTGTGGCCGACTGGTGAAGCCCCGCCCTGCTGTTCGGTTCCCCTCCACCAAATAGCTGCATGTTGCCTCTCAAATATGTATTTGTCCCTTTTCACTGCTTGCAGAGCAAGCCTGGGTTAGGTGGTCTGTGGGAAATGGCCTTTGACAACTAAGGACACGAGTGTTTGCGCTTTGTCATGTTCTGTGCTGAATGGGAAATGCAGACTTCCAGAAAGCCAGCTCTTCCTGCTTGAAAACATGAGATGGACCCAAGAGATCACCTGGGACTGGGTGGCTCAGTGTTGGGGTCAGGCACTGTGCCCTAGCCATGCCCTCCATCAGGACCACCATTGCATACTTGGCTAGTGCTCTTCCGGGCGCCTCTGACCTTGCCGTTCACCATCTTCCCACCCTGGCTGGGTGGCTGTGTCCCCGGGACCCTGTCTTCAGCATGTTATGAAGCCTCAGAGAGGAAATGTCTATGAAGGCTCTGTGTGGAGGACTGTCTTCCGTGGTTTAAAGGGGATACTGTACTCTGAGCTTTTGACCTCATGCCTTGCGTAGTAAAAAGGGTTTGGGTTTTTTGTTCTTGAGGGTTTTGTTTTTGTTCCCTTTTGTTTTGGCCTTTCCTCTTTGTCTTTTCATGTAGACCAGATATTTGAAAGGGCAGACGATGGCTAAAGGTGTAATGTGCAGCTTGTTTATGTATTTCCTGGGAAGCTTTTGCCTTGGATGGGAAATGGAATCGTGGGTTCAGCAGGCCATGGTGGTACACGCACCCTTTGCCCTCCCCTCCGGAGCAGTACCTATTGTTTCTCCTTTCAAATATGTGATTGTACTAGCTCTTTCCATACGAAAGAATTCTCCTTATTTAAATAAAAAAATTTAAAAAAAAAGAAAAAGAAAAAGCCCAAAGCTGAACATGCTTTCTCAGGCTGTGTGTCCCTCGATTTTCTGTGGTCATTTGATGAGAGAGATGGAAGAGTTTTTATGGACAGCTTATGTGGAAATCAGGAGTGACTTGGCTGAAATGCTTTAAAAGCAAGGTGGGGGAGAGAAGGGATTGAAACCTATAGATAGGGTGCACCTTCCGAATGGGTGAGCATTAGTGCTGGTCCTTTCCCCTGGTGGGTGATATTAAGGTGTGCAGGACATTTGCCTGCCCTGTGCCCTCCCCCTACTTCCCCTGAGGAGTGGGCGGGTCAGAGGAGAAAGCGTCTGATTTGTCATGGTTTATTATTATTTTTTAATTTTTAAGTAAGCTCATGACCCCAAGATCAAGAGTTGCATGCTCTACCAACTGAGCCAGCCAGGCGCCCCTGCTTTCTCGCGTTTTTGTTTTTTTTTTTTTGCCACTTTTTAGTGACACTTTTCTATTGCTGGGAGGAGAGGATTATGCTGCGCTTTCGGGTAGGAAAGGTGAGCGCTCCAGGCTTGGGGAAGTGAGGGATCAAGAGCTTGGATTTGAGTCCCAGCGGTGATGCTCGGTTCTGCCCCCACCCACCCCAGCTGCATGACTTTGAAGGACACTCCACCCCTTGGAGTCACAATTTCAACTGTAAAATGTCGATTTAACAGTACCTACCTCCTGGGGTAGTGTGGATTCAAAGAGGTCAGTTAACACAGTGGCCTAGCACCAGTTAAGAATATAGTAAACTTAAAAATCATCCCCACGTAGAACATTTCCATGAGGAAAGACTCCCTGCAGATTCCTTCCTCCTGACTTTTAAGGAATTGGGACCTGGGCACGGGCTGTCCGGGCTGTCTCAGCTCTCGTGGCCACACCCGTTCCCTGCATTCACTGCCCCTGGCGACGGGTGGTTCACGGAACTTCACCAGGAGCCAGCCAGCCCCACTCCTCCCGGGGCCCAGGGAACCCCCAGCCTCAGGCGGGATGAGCCCCAGCTCGCTCCCTTCTCCACAGCCTTGAGCGAGGCTTGGGTAAGTCAGAAAGAAGTAACCCTACATTCTTAACCGGTGCCTTCTAACGCTGGGTTGACCAACGTTCGCGGGGCAAAAAAAATCTTGCACAGTGAAGAACCGTAATTGTAGTTCTTAACCTTGCAGTACCCATCCATGAGATGAACACACACGTACACGAAAGGACCAGGAAGTGGGAGACTGGAAAGAAGGGTGGTGGTCCCGTCGTCACGCCCCGCCGTTCTCCTGGCCAAAGGCGCTGTGTCTCCTGCAGGGCAGGCTCGGACAGGCCCCGCGGGGCGGCCCGGGACGCCTGGGGGGACGGAAGAGTGGCGGCGGGGGAGTGCCGGGGCCCAAGGGACCCTGGGGAACGGTGGGCGGGGACGCCGGGGGTGCGGGGGAGCCCCAGGGGAGGCGGGGCGGGAGAGCGGCGGCCGGGGAGGCCTGAGCCTGGAGAAGATGAGACCCCCGGGGAGTCTGCGCAGGACGCGCGTGCGCGCTTTGCGGACGAGCTGGGGCTGGGGCGGGGGCGTCGGCGTCCGGCCCGACAGGGGGCGGGGCCGAGGGCAGGTGCGCCCGGGGAGAGAAGGGGGTGCAGCCTGAAGGAGAAAGGGAATGCCTGGAAGAGGAGTGGGGGCCTCCCAGGGTCCATGAGGTCTCTGCCGAGAAGAGGCCCGCCAAAGGGGCGGCAGCACTGACCCTGCCCGCCCTCCCGGCGCACGTGCGCACCCGCGGGCTAAGAGCAGACACCCGCACGCGAGGTGCTCGCCGGACCGCACTGAGATGCACAGGGTTAAGGCCCGATTATCTTTTTTTTTTTTTAAGATACCGGAGCGTTCAGTGGGCACGGGGTTCCTGGAATACTAAAGCCGTTAAAGACGTTACTACAGAGGAGGGTCTCCGCGCCGCTCCAGACCCTGAGAGCCCTTGCGGCGCACGCGCGGTGCTCTGGCGCAGGGCGCACGCGCGCCGCTCCTGCGAAGGGTTCTGTAGGCACGGCGAGTCGAGCGTCGAGCAGGCGGTGCGTGGGCGGCGCCGAGTGCCGAGCGGTCTCGCCCCCGCGCGCGACGAGAACCCCTAACCGTCGCCGCCCCCCGCACCCCCGCCGGCGGGTCCGAGGCAGGGCAGGACGCGGGCAGCACCTCTGCGGGAACTCGACGAAACGAGAGTACGTTTGGGGCGCCAGGGACGAGCGCCCAGCTGAGATCCCGGGGAGTGTGCGCGGGACGCGCGTGCGCGGCTTGCGGACGAGCTGGGGCGGGGGCGTCGGCGGCCGGCCCGACAGGGGGCGGGGCCGAGGGCAGGTGCGTCCGGGGAGAGAGGGGAGCCCCCGGCAGGTGCAGCCTTGGGAGAGGAGGGGGTGCAACCTGAGGGAGAAAGGGAATTCCTGGAAGAGGAGTGGGGGCCTCCCAGGGCCCATGAGGTCTCTGCCGAGAAGAGGCCCGTCAAAGGCCAGGTGCAGCTTTGTTTGGTCCGAGAAGGGGCGCTTAGCGTAGATGCAGCCTTAAGACAAGTGGAGCTCAAGGGAAGATGACGCCTCGGGGAGGAAACGGGGGCGCCTGGGTACAGATGCACCCTCAGGGTGAGAAAGGGGGCGCCTAGGGGATGGGCTGCAGCGGGGACGGGCGGGTGGGGGGGCACTAGCGGCAGATGAGGAGCCTTCTGAAGCCCAGAAGGGCGAGGTTGGCGAGGTCCGCGCTCTTCCCTAATAAGCAGCTCCTCTCTGGGAAGTGCTCAGCTGGTGTTCGTGGAGTGACTTGTTGAGTGAGTGAATATTCATTCCTGAGGTCCCCGAATTCTCACCTTAGTTGCCTCCTGGTGTCCTCCTGACTCTCTCAACGACCCCCTAACGCACGGTTCTTCGTGGTGCACCTGAGAGCCGGGGGTTGCTGCTTATTTATTGATGCCATCTCTTCCCTTCTTCTCCAGGGCATCCTCAAGGACCTGCTGCTCTACAAGATGTTGGGATTTTTGAAGCGCCCTGTGGTGGTGAAGGCTGACATCAATTTGAACGTTGTGGTTCTGACTGCAGTGGCCTTACTGAGCCGCCTGTGGCAGCTTGCCTATCCAAGGGCTGTGGTGTAAGCCATACAACCCCACTCAGGGCGAATCGGAGAGAATTGTAATTTGTTCATGTGTTGGTGACAGAAAATGCCCTTCTGAACAGCAGAAGTGAGAGAGTGGAACTCGGTGATGGGTGTTTTGGGCAGAGGAGAGGCCAGTTTGTCCCCCAGGACAGCACGTGCTGAGTCCACCTATCACATCTTGCCCTGTAGTTCTCTAGCAGGTGAAATCTGGCCCCTGAAACAGGTAGCAGCTGTAGGTAACCATTTAAAATCAGGGGTGGAGGGTGGAGGATTGATGGATTTGGAAGTGAGTCGCCACTGACCTTTGAGTGCGTTCTTTGTTCTAAGGAGAGATGACTGCTGGTGGTATTACAGGGCTGTTCATTATCTGGTTAATACGTGTGTTTAAAAAAGAACAAAAAAGTTTAACTTTTCACTGTGGAACACATTAAACGTACACAAAAGTAGGGAGAATAGTTTAATGACCCCCTCCCCAACCAGTGTATTCATCACTCAACTTCAGTGGATTTTTTTGAGGCAAGTCATAATAAGCAGCATGTTTAAGTAATTTGGTATGTTTCTGAAAGATGAGAACTCTTAAAAATAAAACTGAATTAACGTTATCACGCCTAAGAAATTGACAGCAGTATTGACAGGATCCTTGAATGTCCCTGATTGTCTGAAAACATTTGTTGCCGTTGGTTTCTGCACATCTCCCTGTTAGCCCTGCACCTGGTTACCGGGTGTGATTCTGACCCTTAGTCACAGATGTAGCCTCAGGTCTGTGAGGCCTCTCAGTAGGCTGCCTGCTAGCACGTCCCTAAATGAAACTGGGAAGGGTAAATAGAGTCTGTGTTGGGCAAACATCCTGAGTGTATGGCTGTTCTTGGTGAGATTTCCCTCCTGTCCTTGTGGATGGATGATGCTGTGCACCTGTCTTAATATTTGGGGATGCGGTACAGTTTCGGCAGAAGCCCTGAGCAAGGCTGAGCACTCTCTCACCTTGTTTGGAAACAGGTATACGTTTACCCTGATACCTGTGTTTGGTGAAAATTTCTAGTTGAATATCATGCGGGTTTGCTTTCCAGTTTTGATGAAGTATATTATGGGCAGTACATCTCTTTCTACATGAAGCGGATCTTCTTTCTGGATGGCAGTGGACCACCATTTGGCCACATGCTGCTGGCCTTAGGAGGTAGGATTCATTAGTAAGAGAAGTAGCCCTTTAAAACTTGTACGTGAGGGGTGTCTGGCTGGCTCAGTTGGCAGAGCACGACTCTTGATCTCGGGGCTGTGAGTTCAAGCCCCACGTTGGGTGTAAAGATTACTTAAAAATAAATTAATAAGTAAAGCTTATTTACAACACCTAAATAAATAAGTAAATAAATAAATAGAATTGTGGCAATTTATTTTAAAAATAATAAAACTCATAAGTGAAATATTTTGAGGGCAGAAACCATGTCTGATTATCATTGGTTCCCTATTGCTGCTACTGTTTGGCGCTCCCCCAACTCTTTGCTGCGCGGGATAGTTACTGACTCGTCTTCTGTTTCAGGTTATTTAGGAGGATTCGATGGTAACTTTTTGTGGAACAGAATCGGAGCAGGTAAAAGGTTATTTTCACGACCCTTGTGACACTGCACATGTTAGGATGGAGAGGGATCGGCTTTCATAGGGATTAACAACGTGGTTTATTAATTTGTCCAGGGCATGATAAATTCGGTACAAGTGGAAGGCTTTTGAAGGGTCTGGTAGACATCTTAGCGCTTAATCATAGTCCTTATTTTGTCCTTGGTTTTCAGTACACATAACACAGTCTGTACTTGGTGTCTGACCGCAGTTATGTTGTGTACATGTAAGTTTTGTCTGTGCCTCAAATGTGTTTGAGAAAAGATGGGGTAGATTTATAAACAAGTAAAGCACTAACTACTTTCAGAATCATTAGGCACTGTTTCTGCGCTTGATGAGAGCTAGGCTTTGACTGCGCACGGCCAACGTCAAAGCTTTTATCTGCAGCGTACACACTCCGTTCCTGACGTGGTCCCTAGTTTTGCAAACTTGCATTTTAGGGTCTGTGAACATGACACTGTGTTTGAAAACACACCTGCAGTGCAGGAAGATGGTGCGTGCACCGTGTGCTCAGCTCTGCTGTGGTTGCTTTTCCAGAATACAGCAGCAACGTGCCCGTGTGGTCTTTGCGCCTGCTGCCGGCCCTCACCGGGGCCCTTCTGGTGCCCATGGCCTACCAGATCCTGCTGGAGCTCGGCTTTTCTCATTGCGCCGCCACGGGGGCCGCTCTGCTGATGCTTATCGGTGAGACCCAGGCCTCCACCTGCTTTGGTGTCACGCAGGGAAGAACCCAGCGCGGGCCTTGGATATGTCCCAGTGTGCAGCCCAGGAGAGCTCATGCATTTAGTAGATGTGCCCCCTGCAGGGTCTCCTACTCCCAGGTTGGAAGGAAGTGTGCCCACTTTGTCCAGATTTAACTCTGGGAGTCAGTCGTCCTCCTCCCAGGGTGTGGGGTGGCGGGACCGTGTGGTCAGACTTGTGCAGCTGAATACATCCACGTACCACAGAGTTGGTATTCCTTCTGCCAATGAGAAAGATAAAGACCCAGAAAGGTTCGGTGACTTGCCCAGGGTCACACAGGTCTTGCTAGGCGTGATTCACACCTAAGAACTCGCTTTTGCCGTTCTGGAGCCCGTCCCCTTCCAGCCACCCAATCCTGAACTTCCCGTGGCCACGTTTTGTGGCATTTAGAGGGTGTCCTTTCTGTGGGTGCTCCCATCTCCTTACGTTTGCCCCTGCTCCCTGACAGCTGACGTACGTGTCCTCTTTCTAACAGAGAATGCCCTCATCACTCAGTCAAGGCTCATGCTTTTGGAGTCAGTGTTAATATTTTTTAATCTGTTGGCGGTGCTGTCCTATCTGAAGTTCTCCAACTCCCAAAAACAGAGGTATGCAGAAGGGGACACGTCCTTCCTAGTTAATGAGAAAGAAGAGTCTGGGTAGTTTGTTGACCTGAGAAGGTCTGATGCCTTTTCATTTGGGGAAGCTGCTTGTGGACTGTCTTTCATCATTTAGACTGGCCCTTGGCTCCTGACTTCACAAACACATTCTCATTTTTATATAATTAAAAAAAAATTTTTTTTAAGATGATTTATTTGAGAGAGAGAGAGGGCAGAGTGAGCAGGAGAGCACATGAGCAGGGGAAGGGTCAGAGGCAGAGGGAGAAGCAGGCTCCCCACGGAGCAGGGAGCCCAATGCGGGACTCAATCCCAGGACCCTGGGATCATGACCTGAGCTGAAGGCAGACACTTCACCAACTGAGCCACCCAGGCGCCCCTCATTTTTATGTAATTTAAACTAACTTGGAAAATGTTCTGGCCAAAAAGAAAAAAGTTCTGCCAGGACTGAGATTTGGCAGATGGTTCATTTTTCTCATCTTGAAGCTCGGGATGGCCAGCCAACCCCGAGAGGTCTGAGGAGTGCGCCTTCTTGGGCGATGTTTCGTGAACCGTTCCGAGCTTTGCTCTTCTGCTTTGACCCCAGGCCCTTCTCTCTGAGCTGGTGGTTTTGGCTGACGCTGACGGGAGTGGCCTGCTCCTGCGCCGTGGGGTGAGTCTGGTCCGCAGGTCTCAGACAGCCTTGGCATCCTCCTTGTTCTGTGCCTCGTTGTAACGATTTCTCCTCGGGTCTTTTCAGTGTCAAATACGTGGGTGTTTGCACGTACCTACTGGTGCTCACCGTCGCCGGCGTCCATGCCTGGCACCTGATCGGAGACCGGACTCTGTCACACGTAGGTGCCGCCGTGGAGCGGGGCGAGTGGCCGTCCCCGGGGTGGGCGGAGGTCGGTGTGAGATGAGTGTCTGGGGAGAAAGGCGTGAGCCTCCCACCAGTGGCCGCGGGGAGCCCAGAGCTCCGCTGGCCACTTCCTCGGGGCCTGCCTGTCTAGAGCAGGTGCACCTTCCCGAGCGGCGGGACGTGACCTGTCCATCTTGCGGCAGGTCCGTGTGCTCTGTCACCTGCTTGCCCGAGCGGCAGCGCTGCTGGTCGTCCCGGCCCTCATGTACTTGCTGTTCTTCTACGTCCACTTGATTCTGGTCTACCGCTCCGGGCCCCACGATCAGATCATGTCCAGTGCTTTCCAAGCCAGCCTGGAGGTAAGGAGGGGCGCCACGGCTGCCTCAGAGAGGAGACAAGGCTAGACTCAGGGTTTTCTTTTCTTTTCTTTTTAAGATTTTGTTTTGTTTATTTGAGAGAGAGACAGAGCACAAGCAGGGGGAGTGGCAGAGGGAGAGGGAGAAGCAGATTCCCCGCTGAGCAAGGAGCCCGATGCGGGACTCGATCCCAGGACCCTGAGATCATGACCTCAGCCGAAGGCAGAGGCTTAACCGACTGAGCCACCCAGGCGCCCTTAGACTCAAGAGTTTTCTTATGTAAACACCGTCACGTGTTAGGGGGAAACCAGATCAAGACGTAAAGCATCTGCTTTAGTATTTCTAAAGAAATTCTGCATGTGCAGATGGTGTGGAAATAGACAAAGGGATCAGTTCTTCAGTGTGACCTGCCTGAGGACATGGGGAAGTCCTACAGACTTGGGACAGGTGCACACGCATCACAGGACAAGCTCTAGTCTGGCATTCATTCCTACTGACTTTGCAGAGAATGTAAAATGTACCGATTGGGGTGGTGAGGACAGGAGAGTCAGATGGGACCTGTTCTTGAGTGCTGGCTCTGCTGACAGCCAGGCATGCATGTTTGGGCAAATTTCTTAGCTCATCCAAGTGCTAGTCTTCTCACGCCCCCCCCTTTTTTTTTTTAAAGATTTATTTATTTGAGGGGCACCTGGGTGGCTAAGTTGGTTAAACGTCTGCCTTTGGCTCAGGTCATGATGCCAGGATCCTGGGATCGAGCCCCGCATCGGGCTCCCTCCTCGGCGGGAGGCCTGCTTCTCCCTCTGCCTCTGCCCCCCTTGCTTGTGCTCTCTCTCTCGCTGTGTCTCTCTCTGTCAAATAAACAAGGTCTTTAAAAAAAAAAGATTTATTAATTAGAGCGCGAGCAGGGGCAGAGGGAGAGGGAGAAGCTCCAGCAGACTTCTTGCTGAGTGCAGAGCCCATCGCAAGGCTCGATCCCAGGACCCTGAGATCATGACCTGAGCCGAAACCCAAGAGTCGAACACTTAACCCACTGAGCCACCCTGGTGCCCCATTCTTTTTTCTTTAAAGATTTATTTACTTATTTGAGAGAGCCACCTTTCAAATGTACAGAGTTGCCTTTCTCAGAAGATGCCTGGGGCAGCTAAGTTAGGGGGTGTGTGGAAGGACAGGAGAGTGCCTGGCCCCGGAGGCAGCATCGAGTCCCCTGTGTTAGGATTACGTGAGGAGTAGGTCCTATGTTCTCATAGCCAGTTCTGTGGCATGATAATGACCGCCACCACCCCGAATACACACACACACACCCCATGGAGGTGTGGCTGTCGAGAGGCTCGGTTCCTCATGTGCCACCTTTTGCTTTTGTCTTAGGGAGGGCTTGCTCGGATCACGCAGGGCCAGCCCCTGGAGGTGGCCTTCGGCTCCCAGGTCACTCTGAAGAACGTCTTTGGCAAACCCGTGCCCTGCTGGCTTCATTCCCACCAGAGCACCTACCCCATGATGTAAGGAAAACGACCGTTGTAACTCGAAGGTCATAACATGTTTGGTTTTTTTCACATTTTTGCTGTCACCAGCTTTCGCTGTAAATGAAATTTCTGAGAAAGCCATGGAGCTCTCAGATTCTGATTATCAACGGATCTTGGCATTTCTGTGTATGAAACAGAGGGTCTTGGGGAGCAGAGGGCCCGGGCTCTCCCACGTCGGCTGCACCACTCACACGCTGGGCGCGTCCTCCAGCCCCTCTGAGACCCACACTTGCACCTTGTTTTCACCCGGACACCTTGCCGGGTGGTGTTTGCAGGAACCTCGAGAGAACGCGTTGTTGTGTTGGTTCCTTCACGCAGATATGAGAATGGCCGAGGCAGCTCGCACCAGCAGCAGGTGACCTGTTACCCCTTCAAAGACGTCAACAACTGGTGGATCGTGAAGGATCCCGGGAGGTGCGTGCCGGTCCTGGGACTCCAGAGTGGGGCTGGCCTTGTGGCCCCCTCTCCGTGGACGCTTCCTCCCTCGGAGCTTCGAGAGCAGCTCCGTGCTGATGAGCCCGCGGGCAGGGGGTTGGACGCTTCCTCAGGGAACTGCCCACCAGTATCTCGCCCGGGTGCTCCACAAACTCTACCAGCGCTCCCTGCACCCCCTGAGGCAGTCCCTTGCTCAGGCCTCACGGACGGAGGACTCCCTTGTCCCCCTCTCCCGTCTGGTCCGGCAGCCCATCTGTGGCCTCCACCTGCAAAGGAGGTCTCGAACCATCCTGGCCTCCATCTCTACCCCCTGCCGCCTCCCCAGCGCTCTCCTCCCGCTCCAGTTTCTGCAGCTCTGCGTGTCTTTTAAAATGTCCCTCATGGCAGGTCACGGTCGTGCTGAAACCCTTCCTAGCTTCCGTTGCCCCTCCAGTGCCATCCAGACCCCTGGCGGTGGCCTCCCAGCTCCCGGCCTCCTTCCCGCCCCACGCCTGGCCGGCCGCTCACAGCACCCACCCTGTGCTGTAACCAGGCTGGACCGATCCTACCCAGCTGGCTCCTTCTTAAAACCTGAATGTCAGCTCTGGGAGGCTGCCTTGACCGCCGTCCTCCTGTCCCGGGCGTGTTGGCTTCCCTGTATCCATCGTGGCGCAACCGCGGGCGGCTGCTGGGTTTGCTACTTGCGCGGCCGCGTGAGGCGGCGGCGCGGGCCTGGCTGCTCCCCCACGCTCGCCACCACCCTGCTGGGCCCTTGGTGTGCGTGCGTAGACCCAGGAGGCCCCGCGTCCAGCCGGCCCTCTGTCTCTGCAGGCATCAGCTGGTGGTGAGTAACCCCCCGAGGCCCGTGCGGCATGGGGACGTGGTGCAGCTGGTGCACGGCATGACCACCCGCTTCCTCAACACGTGAGTGCACGCCCTCGGCTCTCTGTGCTCCTCTCGGGGTGTCCGCCGGGGGTTCTCTGTCCCGATCAAAGCCCGCCCAACTGCCCCCACGGCTGGCTCTGGCTCCCTCGGGGTGGACCCGTGCCATAGCCTGTGCTTGGTGTTGGGAGGGGCCCAGTGACAGCAGCACGGGGAGGGGCGGGAGGGAAACGGAGCCTTAGTGGGGTAGCCCGCAACCCCGGTGCCACCCCAGACCCCGCAGCAAGAGGTCGTGGGCAGGGGGTGCTTTGAAAGACAAGTTAGGGAGAGCATGGGAGGGCTTCCCACACAGAATGAAGTGCGGGCTCTTCCATAGAGTTAAATGGCTTAAAGTGCGTGTGAATTCAAGAAGGATTGAAATCCCAGCTACGTAGGGTCTGGAAGGGTCCGTGTGTGTCGGTGCTTGGCCCTTATCTGACTTGACCTGAGCAGTCTCTGCAAACTGATGTGCCCAGCCTCCTCTCTTCCTACCTCCACCCAGCTTCTTGGGTCGTCTCGTGGCTCCTCATGCCTCCCAAATTGTGCCTTGAGTCCCTACTTCCCCCCAAAAGCCACACTGCAGGCTCCTCCTGGCCTCTGGCCTGCTTCCCCCTGCAAAGAGCCGTTTGCTCAGCTGCCACCCTGGCTGCTTCTCTTTCTTCCTTCCGCTCCTGCCATGACCCAGTCCAGGCCTGATCCCTGTGCTGTTAGGGCTGGTGCCCCGACCTCCTGCCTCCCTGCCCACCCCCCACCGACAGCGGCGCCCTGTGAGCACAGACCTACTGGCCTGGTCTCGCTTCTTGGCCAGAAGCCCTCCAGCGACTCCCACCGTGTGGCTGTCACACTCAGAATAACGTCCCCACTTCTCCCAGTCCCTCGGGATCCTGCCTCTGGTGACCCCGGTGAGCTTCACTGCGGTCCCCCCTGGCCTCCCTGCTGTCCCCAGACAACCGAGTGCAGCGCCCTTAGGGCCTTTACACCTGCTCCGTCTGCCTGGAATGTTGTTGGACTCACATCCCCCAGTGGCCCACTCGTTGTAGTCACGTGTCAGCTGAAATGTCGCCTCCTCAAAGCCTTTCCCAGGTGCTCCCTGCTGTCTTGGTTTTGTTGGTAGCACCCCACAGCCTGGCACTTTTGTCCATGCATGTGAAGGTCTGCCTTTTCTGGGGTGTGAGGACTGTCTCCAACTACCCCAGAGTACCCGGCACAAAGTAGGATAAAGCGTGACAACTGTGCGAAGGAGGGAGGTGGGTGTTTCTGGACGTTTGAGGTCGCCGTCCCCGAGGGCACTTTGTCCCCCGACAGCATACCTAGTCTCGCCATTTCCAAGGCCCCGGGTGCGTCGTCCTGCTCCCGGGACAGCGAGCACCTCCCTGAGACCGGCTTTGCCGTCCGTGGCGGAGTGGCGATGCCCACACGGCGTGGACTGCCGGCCGTCAGACCCCACATCATGTGGACTTTTCCCCAGAGGTGTGATCCCCGGGGAGCGGCTGCCGTTGAGTGTCTCGTTTATCCGCACGCCCTCAGCTGGCGCACCTCGGGGCCCAGGTGCTCCTGCAGGCTGCTCGGGCTTTGTTTCTGAAAGTGGCTTTTTTCCCTTCAAGGCGTAGTGATCGGCAGGGTAAGGAACTCCCTCCACTGGACTGTTTGGTTTTCCAGGCACGATGTGGCTGCGCCCCTGAGCCCCCACTCACAGGAGGTCTCCTGCTACGTCGACTACAACATCTCCATGCCCTCCCAGAACCTCTGGAGACTGGTGAGTCCCTGGCGGGAACCCCTCAATGGCCACCAGGAATGCGTCCTTTCCGACACGGGACATTCAAAACCGCTCTTTAGAATAACTGTGACTCAGATGTAAAATTAGTGATTTTTAGTCCTAAAAAAAGCCCCAGATGTTTTCGTGGGGGATGGAGACTTCCTCTGCAGGAGGGACGAGCTTGCAGAGCAGTTGGTTGGTGCTCCGTGCTGCCATCTGGCTCTCGGGGCTGCCAGGTGAAGCCTTCCTCGGACTTGGCGGCCTCTGCAGCCTCGAGACCAGGTCACGGAATGACAGGGGCAGGGCCCCGGCCACCCTCCCTCCACCACAGGAGCCCTGTCCTTGACCCTCGCCTGGCGTGAACGAACACCCTGGTCACGGGGCTTCCCTGGGGACGGCTGGGGCTCCGGCCGGGGTGGCGGTTCCTTGCAGGTGCCCTCTCCTGAGGCAGCCGGGCCTCTGAGCATCAGGGGGCACATGCTGCCCCCCCCCAAGTCCCTCTCCGGGGCTGCACGCGGCGTACAGGGAAAGGTGGCAGGAAGAGAGAGTTGTGTTCTGGGCCCTTGCGCTGCTGTGAGTTGAAGGACGTGTGCAAATAGAGCTTCAGTCTGCTGTGCATACTAACGCCCTGGCTGGGGTCTCTCCGGGCTGCCCCGGAGCACCAGTTCCCCCCGCCAATTCTGGTCTCGCAGGCGTGCTCAGTGCAGTGCCGCCAGCAGGCCCTCCCCGCAGAGCCAGGGGCTGCAAGACTGCCTTCGTGTGTGTGTGTGCGCGCGCGCGCGCGCGCGTGTGTGCGTGTGTGCGCGTGCGGCAGCGACCCCCCACCTCCCGCCTCGGTGCTACCCATGTCCGTTCTGCTGCTCCCTCCTGTCCTCACTGTTGCCGCGGGGTGGGAGTGCTCTCCACCCAGGCCCCGTCCCCAGGAGCTCTCCCGGTGGAACCCCTCCTGAGGGGCCCACCCGCTGCCCTTCTGCCACCCTGCTGACGCCTTGGTGATCTTTGTCCTACTCCGTCCCTGCTGGCGGCACCTTCACCCCCACACGCCCACATTTCCAGGGACTGCAGCTCACGGAGCAAGGAGGGAGGATGGCTGATGCAGGCTGTACCTGTCGGCCCCGCCTTCTCCCCACTCCCCCGGAGCCCTTGGGTCTCCTGGCTCCCGCCAACAGCCACACGCCCTCACGGGTCATCGCGGGGCTGCGATAAAATAAGACAAGGCCAAGTGCGCTCACGATGTTAAGTGTTTCCCTTACCCACCACCAGCCGGGCCGCCCAGGACACCTCCCGGGGACCTTCTGTAACCCTCGCCTGGACCATCTCTGCGTTTGCCAGAGAGAGAAGGCCGAGCGCGGAGGCCTCCCGACACCGAAGGAGGGTGGTGTGCTCCCCCCGCCCAGCCAGCAGCTTGCTGCGTGGGTGTCAGGAACAAGGTCGGGGCGCCATCCTGTTAATTCCCCGGAGCTCGGCCCCTGGTTTCAGACAGTGTCGTTGTTTGGTGACCAGTCCTCACTTGACATGTCAGGAAATTGGGGATAGAATGAGATCATCGATAAGACCTGCTTTTAACAGGACATCGTAAACCGAGAATCCGACACGGAGGTTTGGAAGACCATCTTGTCAGAGGTTCGCCTGGTGCACGTGAACACCTCCGCGGTCCTGAAGGTAAAGGGGTGCCGTGTTTGGCTTGCCCGTCCTGGCTGGGGGCTCACGACATCGGTTTCCCAGACCCTCCGGGCTCAGCGGGCTCTTCGTGGGCAGGACGTCCGGCGAAAGCCTTTGCCGTGTTTCCCTCACACGGAAGGGGGAGGGCTCCAGCTTCTCAGACTGGATCCTGACATGGCGGGCCCATGGGGGACCGGCTGCTGCCCTTGCCGGCTGCAGACAGAGGGACCGGGGGGCGGGGGCGGTGGGGGTGAGCCGGGGCCCCGGGCCTCCGCATCACGCCCCGTCTCCCCCGATTTCGCTAGCTGAGTGGGGCCCACCTCCCGGACTGGGGGTTCCGGCAGCTGGAGGTCGTTGGGGAGAAGCTGTCCCGCGGCTACCACGAGAGCATGGTGTGGAACGTGGAGGAACACCGGTACGGCAAAAGTGAGTCGGGCCCCTGGCTTCCGTCGCTGCCACTTTCACGAGCCACGGGCTCTTGGTTCACGCGGGGACTGGAGGCGCCACGCGCTCTGCTGAGCCGAGCCCTAGACGGGCCAGCTGTGCTCTGAGGTTCCGCCCAGAGGCGGTGCAAGCTGAGCTTTCTGAGTGGAAAGATCTGGATTTGACCGGGGCTAATCGCGTCTGGTGGGGAAAGCCAGATGGAGTGATGACGACGACGACACTGTGGGTTGTTTGAAAAGTGGGACGTGGGCGTTTCTCCAAGCTGACGGCTTCCGTGGTGAGCCCCCTGACCTGCGCATGTTCCCTTGGGTCTGTGTGTCCTGTCAGGCCAGGAGCAGAAGGAGAGGGAGCTCGAGCTGCACTCACCCGCACAGATGGACGTCAGCAGAAACCTGAGCTTCATGGCCAGGTTCCTGGAGCTGCAGGTGACCGGCGGGGGCGGCATGGCTCTGCCTGGGGGCGCTGACTTCCCGCCAGAGAGCAGTTCCCTTCCCATCGTCAGCCTTTAACTGGGACCTGGCTGAGCAGGGGACGTTCCTCTCTGTCTGCTCTGAGTGGTCGACGCCACATGGTCGGCCCCGGGCCTGTGGCTTTGCGGGCAGGAGTGGTCAGGAACCAGGCAGTGTAGCCTTGCCACATGGCCAGAATACATTCGGAGCCCCTCAGGTCAGGTCAGAGTGCACCAAGGTCAATGTGATGGAGCCCTAGAGAGGTCAGAACCGGAAACTCGGGGTCCCGAATCTAAAAGCATCCTTGGCACCAAGTTCAATCCCTTGCCCTCGCAGACAGGGGGACAGGGGCCCTGGGGTAGGTCTCTGCCCCCGCCTGTGCTGCATGGTCCAGAGAAATGTGAAGGGGACACCCCAGCCCCTCAGGCCCCTGAGCGAGGACGGCGTCTGGCTGTGTGCTCTACTCCAGCCTCTGGCCTTCTTGCAGTGGAGGATGCTGACGGTGAGGAGCGACGACTCGGAGCACAAGTACAGCTCCTCGCCACTGGACTGGATCACCCTGGACACCAGCATCGCCTACTGGCTGCACCCCAGGACCAGTGTAAGCGGGCGCTCGTGCGGGCGGCAGGCGGAGCGCTTGCTTGAGACTTCTCTGGCGTGAACAGCAGCCACCGCCTCCTACCCAGCCCTAGCTTGGTCCGGGCCCTTCCCGATGAGATCGGGCAGCACGGGGCCAGTATGCGCGTCAGATGTGAGGGGAGAGGTTCACCCGCAGTGGGCAGCTGTTGTTAAAGCGAGAACGTCGGCCTCTCCTGGTTGCGTGTCCGTTTATAGAATCCGGGACCCTACTCAGCCCTTTACCCAGAGCGGTGGGCTGGGTTCCAGCCCATTTGGGCTGCAGGCGAGCAGGCACGCGGCTGGTGGCTGACGGGGTCTCTTTGTGCCCTCACAGGCTCAGATCCACCTGCTTGGGAACGCCGTGATCTGGGCCTCGGCCGGCCTCGCCACGCTGGTCTACGCTCTGCTCTTCCTGTGGTACTTGCTTAGACGGCGAAGGGGTATCCGTGACCTCCCTGAGGGTTAGTGCAGCTTCTGACGAGGGCTCGCGGTGCTTCCGGCAACAGCCTGGCCTCACCGGGAACCTCTGCCTTAAGGCGACCTCCTTGTTTCTGCTGGGAGCGAGCTTAAATCTATTTTTTGTCTCCTTAGAAGCGAAGTCTTGCCGTTGAGTTCCCACATTGGGTTAGATGCTTGTCCAGGGAAATGCAGGCACCAGGCAGGAAAAGCCCTCACCCCGGGACGTGAGCACGGGGTGGTTGGGTGGCACAGAGTGGCCAGCAGGCACTGAGTTACTCCGGTGCTGGTGATTTGCAGAACAGAAATCACTGCGGACCACCTTGAAACAGACAAGGACTACAGGCCCAGGGCAGGGGGAGGCCCGGAAGGCCTCAGCAGCGTGGCACCGTCCCGCTCTTGCCGCTGACCCTGCCCCAGTGGGCAGGGTGGGGGCCCCATACAGTCCCTCACAGCTCGGGCTCCGAGGAAGCCGGGGCCCCCGGGGGGCGCTGGTATGGCTCAGAGGGTCGGGATGGTGAGGACCCCGCAGGAGGCTACAGGAGGTTCTTACGACATCGTTCTTTCTCCAGAGGTCACGGGACGGGTCGGGCGGTGGGGCAAAGGGAGAGCGTGTGTTCCTTAAAGATGAGGAAAGCAGCTCGTGGGACTGGGGGAGAGCCTTACAAGCGAGGCCTGGGTCAGCAGCGCTGGCTCAGGGCGGCCCCTGCCCCCCCCCCCCAGATTCCTGGTTGCGCTGGGTGCTGGCCGGGGCCCTGTGCGCTGGCGGCTGGGCCGTGAACTACGTCCCGTTCTTCATGATGGAGAAGACGCTCTTCCTCTACCACTACCTCCCGGCGCTCGCCTTCCAGATCCTCCTGCTCCCGGCGGTCTTGCAGCACGTCGGCGACCGCCTGTGCAGGTACAGGGCCGCCACGCCCCAGGGGCTCCAGGTCCGGGGCTGTTGTGAGGACTTCGGTGTGCCGTGTGAGGCGTCAACGGGGCGCCCCGGGAGAGGCATGGGTGTGGGAGACGGGGAAGGACACTCTGGCTCCAGAACAGCTAGTGGTGTGGGCCGGGTCGCGCGCTGTGCCGCGGAGATGAACCGGAGTGAGCTCTGGAAGCGGGACCAGAGAGTGTGGGCTTGGTATTTTGGGAGGGGTCGGGAGCCGCACAGCCTCTCAGAAGGGCTGTGGTCCCATCACGCTGGGTGTGGGGATGCTGCCCTGGCGCCAGAGAATAGATGGGAGAGTCTGGAAGATGCACGAGGGGTCCCGTCCAGCGCCTGGGCCAGGGTGCGAGGGGGCCATGTGCTCACGACGGCGAGGAAGAGCCACGTCCCCCGTGCCTGTGCTCCGGTCCCCGCAGGTCCCCGCTCCTGAGGAGCCTCTTCAGCGGCCTGGTCGTGGCCTGGTACTCCTGCGCCTGTCACGTGTTCAATACGCTGCGCCCGCTCACCTACGGGGACAGGTCACTCTCGCCCAGCGAACTCAAAGCCCTTCGCTGGAAAGACAGCTGGGACATCTTGATCCGAAAATACTAACAGGACACACACAGTGAACGTCTGGGCCGGGGTCAGGGCAGGAAGAGCGGTCATCTTGAACCGTGTTTGTCCTTGACAGAGTAGCTTGAAGCTTGGCCGACCGGCCAGCCTGCTCTGCTTTTTCTTCAGACAGTCGCTGATAAGCAGTTTGAGCCAAGTATGTGTTTTCCAGGCAATAGAGGACATGCCTGGGTGTCCCCTGGCGCCTAAGGGCCCCCGAACTAGGGCATGCTGAGTGGCTAGGGCAGGCCTCGCGATGGGGAAAGGGCAGGAGCGGAGCGGGCAGCAATGGGGTGAGTTAGGGACGAAGTGGCCAGGGCCCCGGCCCCCGCTCCCGAGCGCCCGCTGACCTGCTGAGCCACAGCTGTCTCAGCCTCCGTCCCCGGTGAGGCCTCGAGGAACCGGCCTGCATCACATCAGCACCAAACAAGCTACCGAATGACAGGCCCTTGATTCTGGTCACTGCAGTGAAGACCCTGGGACCCCTCGCTGCTGCCGACACGGTGGGGGCAAGACGAGCCAGCAGCACCAGCAGGTTGAGACTCGTCTCACCCCCACGTACCCCCGTCCCGAATCTGCCCTCTGCGTACAATTAAACAGGGACACGTTAGCACTGGTACTTGGTGTTATTTATTGAACCTCCAAAGGACACAGTAAGCTGACGAGACTGTCACACGGCCATCAGACGCGGCCACGCGCCCGTGAGGTCCCACCTGTGTAACTACACTCGGGGCCCGACAGCAGGAGACGGCAGGTGCCCGTGCAGCTTGGCCGGCGGCAAGGGGAAAGCGTCACTTGGACACAAACCGTGCCTCGTGGGAGGGAAGACAAACCAGGGCACCGGCTGCAGGCATCGTGTGTGCAGCTGGGGACGCTGGGTGTGCGCAAGGAGACTGGCTGGTGTTGGACGCTGTGCCCTGTCCACACGGCGCCCAGGGCCCAGGGGCTCCCGAGCAGGGCCGCTGGGGACACGGCGCGCGCCAGTCTGCCTCCTGCCGCAGCCGCGGAGCCGGGCTCGGCCTGGGTAAGCAGGTGCTGCTGCCTGTGTTCGCTGCTGGTTAAGGAAAGGCTCGTTGGGGGGGCTCCTTCCCGGGCGCACAGCCCAGGAGGAAGGAGAGCTCTCTGCGGCTCCGTACATCCGGGTGTGCTGCGCTGGATCGCACCCACCGGCGGGGCACGAAACTCGCTTACTGGGTCACAACTCACATGGGAGAATAAATAACGAAACATTCGCACGTGTAACACACAGAAGGGGGACATGCTCTCCTCAAACCTCTGTTTCAGTCGCACGTGTGTGGGAACTGGGTCGTCCTAGGGAGAGTCGCTCTCGCTGTGGGTTCCTGTCAAGCACACCTGGGACAGCCACCACACCCAGGCCGCGTGCTCCGTGTTCCCAAAAGACGTGACTGGCTCGCCACACGTTCTGGGTCATTTCTCAGTAACTTAAGACTTCTAACCCTCTAACGTGACCAAGCAGGTACAGACGTCGGGAGGGTGTGCCAACATCCGGTTGAGCGTAACAGGTGCAGTGATCCCCATCCCATCCGTACTGTATGGCGCCCAGAGGAAGCAGCGGTGGCGTTTATAGGGGCAGGTGGGCATCTCTGGGCCCAACCCTGAACACGGTATGTCAGGGGTCTGCCCAGGAGGCTGAGCACCCCGCTCCTCAGTGGGGTCTGCTGCTGGACTCCAAGTGCGATCGCTTGCCAGAGGTCAGCACCCCGGGACGGTTTCCCGGCTCAGGAAATGTCCTCTTGTAGCTCCGCCCATTGGCCCCTCGGTGCCATTTGCAAAGGTCGCCGCTCAGGATGTCCTGGATATGCTGCACAATCAGGTTGATGGCCACTGTGGCAAAGACAGCGCGCACTCAGCCCATCTGGTCCCCCCCTCGACGCCTCCACCTGCTGCCGGCTCCCTGGGCCACGCCGCCCCACAATGGCTGGGGGCCGGGAACACAGGCCTCCCCGCGGAGGCTTCCCGGCGGTGCCGGGCCTCAGCAGACAGAACACCGCGGGTCAGGGAAGGCGCACAGTAAAACGGCCCAGCCTGGGGACAATACTTTCTGCTAACGAGCGAGTCCCTGTCAGTATCAGTCTCTTTCTCCGGCCTTACTGACATGTAACTGACAAACAGGAGGGGATCCGTTTAAGCTATCCAAGGTGTTAAACATTTTTAAAATATTCTTTGGACCTGCGCCATGAGCGGACGCAGACGGCAAACCCTCATCACTCAGTGTAACTGCCAGGACAGGGCAGGGTCTGCTCCGGGGCCCCAGGAGGCAGGCTGAGGAGTCGGGGCAGCGACAGGTCTGGTTCTTACCCATGTTGTCGACCCCTCGAGGGATTATCACATCCGCATACTTCTTGGTCTGCAAGGCAAAAAGCAGGATCTTAGATGATCTGCTCCCCACCCCCCGCCGGGACTTCTGGTTGTTGGACACGAGACTCCACGGCAGGACAGCAGCCCTGGGGGTGGCAGGGACCGGTGTGGTGGCAGACAGGGGGCTGGGACTCAGGTGTTAGGCAGGTGCGAGAGGCAGGAGGAGAAGCTGAGGCAGCCAGAAGACATGTTTCTCCCCCGGCGTCTCCGAAATGCGCTTGCACTTTCCTGGGAAGGCCACTGTGGGAACAGTTCTCTGTGCTAACACTTCACTGAGCCAAGTGACCTGCAGCATCCGTCGCCACATGTGACCCTCTTCCCCCGGAACTAGGAACCTTTCTGCTGGAAGCCCGGAGCAGGGAGCAGGCCGGGTTGTGGCATACTCCCTGGACGGCACACGCAAAGCCCTCTGCACCTCTTGCCCCTGCCCGGCGCTGCCAGTTAAGGGCAGGGATAGAGATACCAGGAGGAACAGGGCCACCGAGGGGGGACCCCAGCCAGGTGTTGCTGAGGGGGACACGCCTAAATCAGGCCAAGCGGGAGGAGCGGAAAAGGAAGTGGTCTGAGCTGAGGGACAGACCCGCGGACCAGTCTGTGCGGCGGGCGTGTGGACATGGGCCAGATCCTGGGGCAGCTGTGTCTGCACGCAGTGGGGACCCACGGAAGCCATGAGCACAAGACGGCCAGGCCGGCTTCACAGGGGGTGCTCGCTGGTGGGGTGCAGAAGAGGGGTTGGTGAGGGGCAGGAAAAGAGCTGAGGAAGGTCGTACTTCAGGGACGAGGGAGGAACACGGTGACCTTGGCCGGACTCGGTGTGTGGCTGCACATAAAGGGATCGGGAAGTTCAAGGACAGTGCTGGGGTGCAGCCTCCACACAGGGTCACCTGGTGGGACTGGATGTCCAGAGTTTTACCGTAAACCACCTGCTCTGCCAGATGTCTTTCTTTCCATGAGTAACAGAAAGAGTACGATTATCAATTTACTTTTCTCATCACTTTCCAGACACTTCGGAGAACATGAGCGTAAAATAAAAGACGTTCTCTTCCAATTGCAGCAAACTGCACGCATGTGTCTACTCAATGGAAGCGGGGATCCTGGCTCCATTTCCTTTGTGCTGGATTTTAATTTTAAGAAGCAACATGTTAAGTTTCCCTTTCAAACCACCTGTAAGTCCTATCCTGTGAGAGCTGGAAAGTGGAGGGCAAGACACACGGCCGCAGGCCCCCGAGTGCCAGCCAAGGGCAGCCTGGAGGAACAGGTGGCGTGGGGGGGTGGGGGGCGGTCAGCAAGCGCCTGCGCCGCGCCCATGCAGGCCGGGGACGGACACGAGCCCCTGCCCCCGTGCAGCTTCCCATTCCGAGAGGGCAAGCAAGGCGCAGCGAGCTCAGCCAGCCAGAGGCGCCCTGGAGAACGGAAAACAGGCGGGCCAGGAGCAGAGGGTCCTCGGGGTAACCCTGGGCGGGCCACGCAGGTGGCGTGGGGAAAGGCCTGAAGCAGGGAGGAGGGGAGCTGTGTGGACATGGGGGCCGAGGGGCTTTTCCAGGCAGAGGAAGGGATATGCACAGACAATGCTTTTAGAGTGGAGAACGAGTCCCCATGAGGGGGTATGAAGAGCTAACTTCTCTGTTCGGAAATCAGACCCCACTGCCCCACAATTCAGCTCTCGTGGAACAGGGTGCCAAGGGTCCTCTTGAAAAGGGAGAAAAGGAGGTCCCCAAGTAAGCAAAAGGGGTACCGGCAGGCAGAACTCCTCGAAGGCTGGTTTGACGAAGGTGGTGTACTGGGTCAGGATCTGCTCCAGGTCCCTCCCGCGGTGCACGTCCCGGAGAACTGAGGCGGGAGGAGCAGGGTGGTCAGGACTCGCGGCCGCCCTCAGCCAGGGGCAGAGAGAGGGAGGCCCGCGTCCGCCTTACCTCTTCTCGACAGCCTGACGTCAGAGTCCGTGTCCACGAAGAGGCGCAGGTGGAACATGTCCCGGACCTCCTGGCTATAGAACACCAGGATGCCCTCGAACAGGACAACGTCTGCGGGGTAGACTACTGTGGTCTCTGCTAACCTAGGAGGCGAGACCAGGAGACGGGCCCCGCTGGAACTACGGGATCTGGGGGCCCCGAGGCACAGTCGGCTCCGGTCCCCAGGTGCGGACCACGTGGAGGGGACAGATCACAGCAGGGGACAGGGGTGTGCCCAGACACCAACAGGGCCAGGCTGCTGCAGGGCATACGCTAGCTGGCCCCCCGCACACGGTCCCTCTCCCAGGAACCACCTTGCTCACCTTGAATGGGTCACAAAATCATAGGTTGGGACCTCGACAGTTTTGCCCTCCACGATGTTTTTCAGAGTCCTGTGCATCAAATCGTTATCAAAAGCATCTGCAGGATGGAACAGAAGGCAAGACTATCCAGGTGTCCTCGTGCTGGGGATGGGAGTGAACTTCCTTTGCCTTGGGGGTGGGCAGCCACAGCTCCACCCAGGAACATGTGGACTAGGGGCCACCCCTACAGTTTACAGTTACAGACTGCTGTCCCACACAGAAGTTTGGCCCCAGGGATTTCCCGATCGGCCAGCACTGGGACATAAGTGGGTTAGGCATCCGCTTCTATTTCTGGGAAATAACCACCGACTGATGCTCCTCAGGCCTTCTTCCCACATGTCCCCTCCTTCCCACGTGGGAGCCAGCCACAGGGTGGAACCTTCTAGCAGTGGCAGGCAAGGGCAGGCTGGCTCTTTCCCCTCATCTGTCTACCCCATTTGCACCTGCCCCCTGATCAGACCAGACCAGACGCGGCCCTCTTGTTTACCCACTGCTTCCCCTGCTAGCCTCCCAAGGACTTTGCCCCAGGGCAGGTGGGGACCCCAAACAGCAGGAAGGTGGGGGGATTTCTCCATGAGCACAGTCCTGGCAGAGCAGTGGTCCCCAAGGCTCCTCCGCAGCAAAGACTTCCTGACTGGCTCCAACTGAGGGAGCCAGCAGCTCCTGCAGTGTCACTCCGGGCACGGAGAAGGAGGCAAAGTTCTTTCTGACTTAATCACACAGCCCACTCCGGCTCAGGCTACCTCAGAAATTTCATGGAACCACTGGGGTCTCTCTGCATCGCCGGCCAACCCTGGAGCCAGTCCCCCTGTCTGTCCTCCTCCCTCACCCCCCTCAGGGTCTTCAGCTGCACCTGGGTGGTCGAAATTGTACTGTCCCTTCAGTGCCTTGGCCTTCTGTTCTGGGGTCAGGACCTTGTAGAACCTGTCCTGACTCAGGATGACCAGCTTCCGCTGCCGGTGGTCCACTTCGTTCTGGCCCAGCAGCTCCATGATCTTCTCACACACAGTGGACTGGGAATACACAAACAGGATTCCCGCCTGGACCTGCGCCTCCTGCCACGGAGCTGGCCTCTGGAGACACTGACCCACCAGCCCCCAGGGGCCGCCCGGCAGACCAGCGACACGTGAGGCTGGCCTTCGGGGAGCGCCGCGGGGCACCGAGAGGGACAGCACGCACCCGGGGGCCCGGAGGAACGAGGCCAGCGGGGAGGCTGGGGGGAGCCCGAGGGCAAGGGCCCCTCGCCCTGCCTGCACCCCGGCCCCGGCCTGCTCCACCACGGCCGCAGCCCCTCGCCCCTCCGCGTCCGCCCTGGAGGGGACGCCTCGGCAGCCAGGAGCCCGGGGGCTCGTCCCCGGCTGGTGGCCGGATCGCTCCGCCCCGAGTCCCAGGGGGCCGGGGTCGAGGTGGCACGCAGGCCCCGCCGGGCCGCCCAGCCCCTTACCTTCCCGCTCGCGGTGCCGCCGCTCACCCCGATCAGGAAGGGCCGCTGGTGAGGACGGTCCGCCTCCGGCGCCGCGCCCTCGCAGTCGCCGCCTCCAGCCGAAGCCATCCCAGGCTCTGCCGGCGGGCATCGGGGCCCTAGCTCCCGCCGCCTCCCCGAAGCAGCCGGCCCTCCCACCCCCGCGCGAAGGTCGGTGACGCTTCCCCGGAGCCCCACTTCCGGGAGGCTCGCGGCGTGGCGGGGGAGAGGCGGTGGGAGCGCGCGGGGCGCGGCGGGAGTTGTAGTCCGAGGCGACGGAGGGCGCTGCGCCTGCGTGGGGCGGGCCGGCTCACCTGCGGCCGGGTTTCCCGCAGCCCCGGGTGCTGCGGGTTTGCTGCAAAGGACGAAAGCTACTCAGTAGCGCAGCTGGCCGCAGGAGTCTCCAGACGCCGGGCGGCCTCCCCAGCAGAGGCAGTGACCGCGAAAGTTCCCTCCGTCCGAGCCTCCGGTGCCTGGGGGCGTCGGGGATGATCCCACCCCGGAGACTGCGGGGCTGGGGGAGGTGGGGCAAGGGTAGCGCCAGGGCCGGCAAGTCAGCCCCCTGCAGCCTGTGCTCCCCGGGGGCCCTCGGAATTTCCTAACATTGCCCTGATCGTGCCGCTGGTGCCCCCCACCCCCGCCTTCAGAGGTTCCCCACTGCCCTGCGGCAAGTGTCACCTAACCTCCCCAGCACGTGGTGGTGACAGCGATGACTTTTGACTACAGCATTAGGCAGGCAGTGAGCCAAGGAAGCCGAGACCGAGTCTGCTGGGTACCCCTGAACCCCCGGTGCCTGGCACAGAGAAGGCAAATGCTGATCGATTCAAATTGTGTATTTCCCCCAAGGCATCAAGACTCTTTGTGGGTGGAGCTCCTAATGCACTGTGAGCCCCGCATGAATATTTGATGAGGTATGAAGCCAGAGAGACTACAGTAACATGCAGACAGCAGGCAAAGTCGCTGTTCATGTAACTTCAGAAGCACTAACCCATCTCAGGAGGGGTTACAGGCAGCTTCTGCTGATGGGGGCGCAGGGGTGCAAGGGGCCTGGGACCTCCTGAGCTCTGTGACCTGGACAGACTGAAGCTGATGAAGGGACATGAGAGGAACTTAGGCAGGAGCTTAAAACCGGGAGGACCCTTCTCCTGCTTACAGTGAGCCCGGCGGGGTTAGGAGCCAGGCTCCGGGCTGAGTGGTCAACCCTTGCCTCTGCTGAGTGACCTCTGGCAGTTATGTGATTCCTCTGTATTTCCTTTCTTCCCAAATGGGGCAATGCTATGAGTTTTTGTTTATTTATTTTTAAGATTTTATTTATTTATTTGACAGAGAGAGACAGCAAGAGAGAACACAAGCAGGGGGAGAGGGAGAGGGAGAAGCAGGCTTCCCACGGAGCAGGGTGCCCGATGCGGGGCTCGATCCCGGGATCCTGGGATCATGACCTGAGCCGAAGGCAGATGCTTAACGACTGAACCACCCAGGCGCCCCTGCTATGACTTTTTATATGTACAGGTCCGGCCTTGAGGGGCCACACAAGAGAGGTCAAGGCAGAGTGCAGACAGAGAGGCAGGACCAGGGGCTCATGCCTTTGTTAGGGTCTGCGGGTGGGGTGGTTTGGGCGTCCTGGGCTAGGGCCAGATTGGGCCACTCAGCCCAAAAGCGTGGGGCTTTGATAAGCTGCTTTCATGCCAGAAAGCCCACCACGGGGTTGATGCAGGGCCTGGCCCAGAGAAGGTACCTGTTCTGTGTTCTCTTCCATTCTGTATGTGTCTCTCTGGCGTCCATTCCTCATAGGCCCAATTTTATTAACTCTTATTTATTTATTTGTTTGTTTGATGCTCTGGCATCTGGGGCCTTCCGGGCTCCCCGGGGAGAGACTGCCCTTCCAAGGCTAACCAGTTCTCAGAGATAGCAAACCTGTTAACCAGCCAGTCCCCAACCCCTTCTTTCTTTCTCTTTCTTTTCTTTCTTTCTTTCTTTGACAGAGAGAGAGACAGTGAGAGAGGGAACACAAGCAGGGGGAGTGGGAGAGGGAGAAGCAGGCTCCCCGCGGAGCAGGGAGCCCGATGCGGGGCTCGATCCCGGGACCCTGGGATCATGACCAGAGCTGAAGGCAGATGCTTAAGGACTGAGCCACCCAGGCGCCCCTCCCCAACCACTTCTTATCTGACTCTCACAGACTCCCACCAAGCCCCAGGCCTGGACCCTGCCTCCCCACTGTCCCATCCTACCCTTTGGAGGGCTGACTCTTCCCAGCATCCCTCCCCAGCTGGACTGGGCGAGGCCAGTCTAGGTCCTCGGTGGTCTGGGCATTTCTCCTGGGAGGCCCCAGGCACAGCTGCAGTTAAGCCATGGATTTTGCAATCTCCTGCTTGATGCTTGTCTGGAGAGCAGAAGCCCCATGAGGGCAGGCCCCTGCTGGCTTGCTAGGCTGAGCCTCTGCTCCGCATGGTCAACATTTGTTGTTGCTGAATGGGGCACAGGCTGAGCAGCCGCTGGGTTTCTCATAAGCAAGTGAGGCAGGATTGGTAAAGTGAACAGTGACAACCCTCTGGGATCCTCTGCTCCTGTCCTCACCAGCCCCCACCCCGTGCTTTCCAAGGCTGCTCTCCTTCCCCACCCCCTTCACCAGCCCCCACCCCCTGCTTTCCAAGGCTGCCCTCCTTCCCCACCCCCTTCACCAGCCCCAATCACCTGCAAAAGTGTTGTTCATTCCAGGTACGTCTTTAAGCTTTTATTGAACACAGGCTGGTACTCAGCACTTGAAGAGCTGACCAAGTGTCATTTTTTTTTTTTTTAAGATTCATTTATTTGAGAGAACGAGCATGAGCTGGGGGAGGGGCAGAGGGAGAGGGAGAATCCTCAAGTAGACTCCGTGTTCAGAGCACAGAGCTCTGTCCCAGGACCCTGAGATCATGACCTGAGCCAAAATCAAGAGCAGGCTGCTTAACCGACTGAGCCACCCAGGCGCCCCCAATGTCAATGTGTTAAGTAGCATTTACTGCCATCTTCCTAATCATTGAATTAACCCATACTCATTGCAGAAAATGCACACACACACAAATAAAACGAAAATCATCCATCTCCCCTCACCCAGGGAAAGCAGTGGGTTTGTATTCCAGTGTTGGCTTTCTGGTCTGATAGGGCTATGGCTAGACAGTGGGACGATAAGCAAGGTTTGGTTCCGTATCTTAAATGACAGTGAAGCCTCACAACAGACCTATGATATGGGTCCCCTTATTATCCCATTTTCCTGATGGGGAAATTGAGGAGCAGAGAGATCCCATGGCTGGTCCCAGCCTTCTAGTCAAGATAGCTGAGCTAGTAGGAAGTCAGCACACCCATATCCACACTCTTGCACACCCTCCCAACACCAAGAAGTGCATAATCTCTCTGTTCCAAAACAAGAAAGGGAAATATAATATGCAGGCCCTTGAAGGGACCAGGACCAGCCTTGGGGGTGGAAGTCAAAGCCACTGGCTCTCTGCAGACAGCTGGAGCCTGAAAGGGACTGCCCTTTGGCGAACCTGAGCCAACCACGATACTGATGGCTTTGGGTAAAGTCATCCCTAAGAAGGTGGAACCCCCAGTGTGTATTGCATGTGGGCCAGCTACAAGGAGCAGAAGCCCCAAGCGGGGAAACTCACATAATGTGCTCCACAGCTGGTGACTTCCGTAAGGATCCATAGAGACAGATGCAAAACTGTCTTGCATCCCAGGGCACACCCCAGGGCACACCCCAGGGCATAGGCAGGGAGCCTTGAAAAGATAGCTCCTGCTGAAGGTGAAATCTGCCACGTCTGGAATAGTCAACTGATGTGGCAAACGGGCCTGATCGTACCTGGAGAACTAGCGAGGAGATGCCGATTTGGAAAGAGTTTAAAAGGAAGTCTACAAAAGTAAAGACAGAGCAACTAAATGCAGCACGCCATCCTGAGCGGGATTCTATGGTGAGAAAATACGCCAGGAAATGGTGCGCATTTGTGCCACCCTTGCAACTTTTCTCTGAGTCTGAAATTCCTTTCAAATGAAAAGTTTAAGAACCGTTTGAAAAGAAAGCACATGGAATAATGTGCATAACAACAGAAAAGATACAGGGAAAAACTGTAGACTTTAAAAGAAACAAATGGGAAGGGGGTGCACTGGGCTGGCTCAGTCAGTAGAGCATGTGACTCTTGATCTCAGGGTTGGGAGTTCGAGCCCCACGTAGTGGGTAGAGATGCCTTAAAAGTAAAATTTTCAAAAAAAGAAAGAAAGCAAGAAAACCAAATGGAAATGCTCACTGTACGAAATGAAGACATCAAAATGTTTCGAAGAATGCTCCTCTGATAGACTTGTCTGAGGTTTTTTCTCAAAAATTTTAAAAGCAATCTCTACACCCAGCATGGGTCTTGAACCCACAGCCTGAGATCAATAGTCACACACTCCACCCACTGAACCAGCCCAGTGCCCCTGAGGTTTTCTCTTGGTGTGATGGAGTTTATGTGTCCTTGCAGGGAAACCACAGATGAGTGGGCATCGCATGGGGGCAGGTGACATCCTCAGGTGTCACTACTGATGTTAATCTTGATCACCTGGCTACGGGGGGTGTCTGCTAGGGTTCCCACTGTAAACTTACTGTCCTTCCCTTTGCACTTGGAAAGTATGCTGAAGGAGGTACTTCGAGACTATCCAAGTATTGTTTCTGCTTAAACAACTTTCACCTGCTAGGCTTAGCATCTGTTGGTGGGTCTTGCCTGTGGCAGTGATTACCATGAGGTTCTAATGGTGATTTTCTATTTCCCTCATTCCTTCTGCTATTTATTGGGATTCTGCTGCGAAAAGAGAGCTATCTCTTCTCTCCCATTTATTTATTCAGTTATTTATATCAGCATGGGCTTATGGATATTTATTTTATTCCTGGGTTATATCATGATGGGATTATTTTGTTATCCAGGTTATTCCAATTTTGGCCATAGGGACCAATTTTTTGTTTGTTCCTGTGCCTTTTTTTTTTTTTTAAAGCACTTCATCACCTTCTAGTATTACGACATGCTCTAGGCTCACCTTATGTTTTCCCTGCCACTGCCTTGGAATCCGGCACTTCCCCAAGGGTTCCTGGTTTTTTTTATTGGAGACTGCTATTTAGAAACTGAGATTTGGGTGCAGGTATAGGAAGGACTGCTTTTTATATGCACCAGTCTAAATGTAGTGAAGGTCTGCTTTTTCCATACGTAGACCCCTATGTTCCTTCCCATCTTTTGTGCAGTTACTATACTGTTGTACAGTTTACTGTTTTTTTTTCTAAAGTAGACTCCATGCCAAGCATGGAGCTTGAACTCACAACCCTGAGATCAAGACCTGAGCTGAGATCACGAGTCGGATGCTTAATGGAGCCACCCAGGCGCCCCATACAATTTACCTTTAAATGTGTTAGAAGCAGGGGCACCTGGCTGGCTCAGTTGGTAGCTCACATGACCCTTGATCTCAGGATCTTGAGTTTGAGACCCACACTGGGCACAGAGCTCACTTAAAAAAAATGTGCTAGAAACATTTAGTACATTGCCTTTTTTTTCTTTTTTTGCCTTAGTTTGTCAGTTACCTTTTAGCACAACTAAAACTAAAGATATTTTTTACTGTACTGAGTTTTCCATTTCTACACTTCGTGTAGATCCATGTTTCAGTCTGACATCTTAGTTCTTCTCCCTGAATCAGTTCCCTCACTGTTTATTTCTGATGTCAGCTTTTTTTTTTTTCTGATGTCATCTTTTGAATTCTCAAGGGTGTTTTTGTTTTGTTTAATGAATGTTCTTTTTCACAGCATCTTGTTCTTGTTTCATGGATGTCTTCCGGAATCGCTGAGGATCCTGAAGAGAGGTTGTAAAAGTTTTCTTCTCTCCGCATGCTCTGTTTACTTATAATTTCTTCCATGTGTTTGATCTGTGCCTCTCCCCCCTGACCTGCTTTCTTCAGATCTACAGTGGGGGGCCCTCGCCTGATGAAATCTAAGAGCGGGGGACTAGCCGATGGTTGGAAATTCTGAGCGTGTGTGGGACGTTTGCTAGGCTGAGTATTTTCAGGCAGGAAACCCTGGTATTTCTTTATCTTTTCTCTTGGGCTGGTCATCGCCCCAGGAGAGGATTCTGCTAGTCCTCGCCAGGAGGGTGAAAGCCTATCCGCTAGCTTTCTGTGAGCCAGCAATAACCACAGCAATTGTTCAGAACTTAGACCAACAAAGTATTTTTTTCAGGCGGAGTGTTTTGTCCCTGACCTAGTTTAGAATCACTGTCGGTGGTGATGAAAAGCTGAACAACTTCTAGTCACTTTCAGCGTCTTTAAATCCTCTTCCAACGATGCACCCCTCGGGGCCGGCGCCCACCAAGGCTTCCTCTCCCGTCCACATCTGGGTGTACAGCTCAAGCCCCGCCCGCCGGGACCGCCACCTCACCACGGCGCGCCCCCGGGCCTCCCAGGCGCTTCCCCTCTGGTCCCCGGGGACCTCCCTTCCGCTCTGGGGAGCTCGGCTAGGAATTTACAAAGACGTCTGGCCCCTCGGTGTAGCCCCTCTAGCCTTTCTAGGTGTTCGCACGGGGCCCTGCTCCAGGTTCCCCGGTCTGGCAAGCTTCACGGAGCAGACACGCACACACGTTGTTTCAAAAACTGATTTCACGCGAAACTCTTCCTTTCTGGCCTTTCTTGCTGAGGAAAATGGAAAGGCCGGTCGGGCAGCCGCGATTCCCCGGGCTCGTGGGCCACGCGGGTGTCGCCGTGCGCTCTCGGGTCCCCCGGCCTCCGGCGCTCGCGGCGGGGGAGGGGCGCCCGCGAGGGACCCCGGCCCCTCCCCGCCCCCTCCCCCCCGCTCGCCGCGCGCGAGGCCACCTCCTGGCGCAGCGGCGGGCCATCAAGGCGGTCAATCATTAACCGGCCGCGCAGCCGCCACCAGGAAACCCGAGCCCGCGGCGCCAGGCGAGCCCGGCCCGACGGCGGCGGGAGGCGGGGCGCGGGCAGCGGGCGGCGTGCGCCATGGAGGCAGGTGAGGGCTCCTGGGGGTCCCGGCGCCGCGGCGGGGGGCGGGCCCGGGAGCTCCTCCCGCGGGGCCCAACCTGGCCCTGGGACCCCTCCTCCAGAACACGGAACGCCAGGAAGATGCTATGGAAAGTTCTGGCAACTCAGGCGGCGCTCCTCTCCAGCTCCCTGGGCGCCCCTGCGGGAGGGGCCGGGGAAGGGCGGGCAGCAGGTGCCCCGCGCCGGGCCATTTGGGGGGCGTTTTCCCCTCTTCTCCCCCACGCCCGGTCCTCTCCCTGGTGACTGCCCGTCCCTCCGGCCACGCAGAGGTTCTTAGAGCGAGGGCAGGGGGCCCTGGCCGGGGGTGGGCTGGGCTGGGCTGGGCGTGGAGGACCGAGACGGGGTCGGGGAGGGAGGCGCGGCGGGAAGAGACCGCACCGAGGCCGGCGCGACGGAACGGGGTGCGGGGACCGAGCAGAGAGATGGGCAGCAAGGTCGGGGCCGAGAGAGGTTCGTTCCGGGAGCTTCGACGGCCCCCCCAACCCCGCGACCGAGCCCTGTCCTCGGGAGCCCCAGGCTGGCGGGGCGGGGGGCCACGGCGGCGGGCTCGGAGCTCCGGGGTGGGGTGGGGGGATGGGTCCGGAGCTTCGGGTCGGGGGCGGGGGATGCGCCCGGCGCCGTCCGCCCTCCGCCCCCCTTGCGGCTGGAATGTCCGCGGAGGCTCGGGTGTCGAGAACCCGAGGCCGCGGGCCCAGCAGCCCCGCCAGCAAATTTATTTACTCAGCAGCCCTATCTCCGCGCCATCGGGCCAGGTATTTGCCCCGGCGGGGGCCCCGGGAAGCTGCGGTTTTTGTTATGATAATTAGGGCTGTGCCGGGCCGGCCTCTGCGCGGGACCGGCCTCCGGAGCGCATCTGCATCTGGCCGGGCCCCCGGGGAACGGCCGTCGGCCTCCCTTCGCGCAGCTGTGAAATGGGGCAGGTGCCCCGGACCGTGACCCGAGATACTAGAAGAGAGCGGGCCAGAGCTTCACGGTTCTTATTTGGAAGTGATTGTTACTCTTCCCATTTCACAGATGAGGCGTCTGCGGTATGGAGCGCGTGTCAGGGGCGTCAGCTGGTGCAGCCAGACTTCACGCGTTTCCTGGGCCCCGTCCGCGTTCATGCGGATGGACTGTCGGGGGGACGGGGCGCAGGGCCCGGCACCTCATAGATGCTCGGTCATCTCAGTCGCTGCAGTTCATGGCCTTGCCATTAGCCTTCACCTGGACGTGTTATCTGCACAGCTTCATGGGCTCGGCAGCCCCCCGGGCGCCTGAGCCTGCTGAAATCGTGATCTTTTCATAGGGTTTGTGTACAGAACTGCGTTTCTGAGCCCACAGCACTGGTCCGTAGTAGGTGCCCACAAGAGCGGGCGGGATTGAATGGCTGGTTGGTTGCCTCCGTGTATCACCTACGCAGAAGGCCGTTTGGGGGCTCCGTGTGGAGGGGTGGTGGCTTTGAGTACGAAGAAGCCTCCCCGGTAGACAGCAGACAGGACTTCCCTCCATCCCCCAGTATTGTAGGCTTGGTTGTTCAAGAACCCCAGCCCTTGGGGGCGGCAGTGAGGTTGGGGCCCTGGAATTCTCAAGAGCATCTCCCGAGGGCTCTACAGGGGCTGGGGTCTGACGGGTGTCTGTCGTCCTCTCCCAGTCTCTTCCTAACCTCAGGTCACAGTAGTCAGCGTTAGGAGCACTTTACCCCAGTTTAATCCCCACGGCAACCCCAGGAGTTGGTGGTGTCCCCATTTTAAGGATGAGGAAACTGAGAGGCGCAGGGAGGTGAAGGGGCCCAGGCGGCATGGTCCCTGGGCTCCAGCTCCTGAGTGGCACCAGCCCCGAGGAGATGAGGGGGGTCTGGCGTGCCTGTCACTCTCCATGTTGCTCTTCCTGCCGCCCCTCTACACGCTGTCAGGCCGGCGCACCTCCTCAGTCCTGCCTGGGTCTGGCCACTTGCCCACGTCCCTCCCTTTTGCTCAGGCCACTGTCACCTGTCCCTCTACCCCTGCTGCTTCCTTCCTGCTCTCTTGCGTGCCTTCCGGCCACTTCCCGCACTCCAGCTCTGGCCGCCAGAGGAAACCTCCCCTCTCAGTTATCTGTTGGCTTATGCTGTGTAACAAACCAGCCCAAACTGAGTGGCTTCACACAACAAGCGTGTAGTGTTTCTCAAACTGCTACAGATATTTGTGTGTGTGTGTGTGTGTGTGTGTTTAAATCTTCTTGGGCATTTACATGTATTTTTTTTTTAAAGATTTTATTTTTTTAAAGATTTTATTTATTTATTTGACAGAGTGAGAGAGAGACCAGAGGGGGGTGCACAGAGGGAGAGGGAGAAGCAGGCTTCCTGCTGAGCAGGGAGCCCGATGCGGGGCTCAATCCCAGGACCCTGGGATCATGGCCTGAGCTGAGGGCAGACACTTAACCAACTGAGCCACCCAGGTGCCTCCCGTTTTTTTTTTTTTTTTTAAGATTTTAATTATTTGAGAGAGAGAGCATGTGCACACAAGCAGGGGGGAGAGGGAGAGGGAGAAGCAGACTCCCCACTGAACAGAGAGCCCTATGTGGGGCTTGATCCCAGGACCCTGGGGTCATGACCTGAGCCGAAGGCAGACGCTTAATCCGCTGAGCCACCCCAGGTGCCCCTGCTACAGATATTTGTGAACAAGTCTTTATGTGGTTCTATTTTTTCTCTCGGGTGCATGCCTATAAGTGGGGTAGCTGGATCCTATGGCAGGTGTATGCTTGACTTTTATTTTTTTTTTTAAGTATTTTATCTTTATTTTTTTAAAGATTTCATTTATTTATTTGAGAGAGAGAGAGAGAGAGAAACAGCATGAGAGGGGAGAAGGTCAGAGGGAGAAGCAGGTTCCCCACCGAGCCGGGAGCCCGATGTGGGACTCGATCCCAGGACTCCGGGACCACGACCCGAGCCGAAGGCAGTTGCCTAACCAACCGAGCCACCCAGGTGCCCTATGCTTGACTTTTAAAAGGAACAGTCGAAGTGTTTCCCAACATGGTTTCACTGTTTTCCTTTCCCACCTGCTGTGCCTGAGAGCTGGGGTGTTTGGGTCAGGGTTGTCGGTGGTAGTTAATCCCAGCCCCCCTAATAGATGTGTAGTGATACCTCCTGGTTTTAGTTGGCATTTGTAACTTTGATGGTGTTTCTGGTGACTGCTGATGCCAAACATCTTTTTTATGTGCTTATCGATCATTTGAATATCCTCTTTGGTGGAGTGTTCACAAATCTTTCATCCATTTTCTCATTGGGATGTTTGACCTACTGAATTGGAGTTTTTTATGCATTGTTGATACAACTCCTTTGCCTGATACATGTGTTATGAATATTTTTCTCCCATTCTGTGACTTGCCTGTGTATGTTCTTACTGATGGTTTTCTTTTTTTTTTTAATATTGGCTTAAAAAAAAAAGTCCCGTTATGTAGGCATTTCCATTCCATCTACTGTCCATGTGTCCTGCAATAAATTTCCGTATTTGTTATTGAAAAAGAGAAAGAAGAAAACGAAAAGAAGAAACAAAAAAAAAGTCCCGTTGTTGGTAACGTAGTCTTATTAGTTTCAGGTGTACAATATAGTGATTCAATAATTCCTTAATTAGTGCTCATCAAGGTAAGTGTACTCTTAATCCCCACCACCTATTTCATCCATTCCCCCCCCACCTCCCCTCTGCTAACCATCTGTTTGTTCTGTACAGTTAATACTCTGCTTTTTGATTTGTCTCCCTCTCTCTTTTTCCCCTTTGCTCATTTCTTTCTTTTTTTTTTAAAGATTTTATTTATTTATTTGACAGAGAGAGACACAGCAAGAGAGGGAACACAAGCAGGGGGAGTGGGAGAGGGAGAAGCAGGCTTCCCGCCGAGCAGGGAGCCCGATGCGGGACTCGATCCCAGGACCCTGGGACCATGACCTGAGCTGAAGGCAGATGCTTAACGACTGAGCCACCCAGGCGCCCCTGCTCATTTCTTTTGTTTCTTAAATTCCACATATGAGTGAAATCATAGGGTATATTTGTCTTTCTCTGATTTATTTTGCTCAGCGTTATACTCTCTAGCTCTATCCATGTCATTGCAAATGGCAAGAGTTCATTCTTTTTTTTTTTTTTTTTAAGATTTTATATCTATTTAAGAGTAGAGTGAGAGAGAGCACAAGCAGGGCTGCGGGGCAGAGGGAGAAGCAGACTCCCCCATTCCCCACCCCCCACAGGGAGCCCAATGTGGGGCTCCATCCCAGGATCCCTAGATCATAACCTGAGCCAAAGGCAGACACCCAACTGACTGAGCCACCCAGGGGCCCTGATTTCATTCTTTTCATAGCTGAATAATACTCTCTCTCCGTACCACCTTTTCTTTATCTCTTTGTCTACTGATGGACACTTGGACTGCTTCCATGTCTTGACTATTGTAAATAATGCTGCAGGTAACCCTTTGAATTAGATCTCCTTTGAATGTATCCCTTTGAATTAGTGTTTTTGTAATCTTTGGGTAAATACCCAGTAGTGGAATTACTGGATCATAAGGTAGTTCTGTTTTTTTCTTTCTTTTAAATTTAAGTAGGCTCCATGCTGGGAGAGGGAGTTTGAACAGGGGACTTGAACTCATGATCCTGGGATCAAGACGTGAGCCGAGATCGAGTCAGATGCTTAACCAACTGAGCCACCCAGGTGTCCCTGTGTTTACTTTTTTGAGGAACCTCCATACTGTCTCCCACAGTGGCTGCATCAGTTTGCATTCCCACCAATAGTGCACGAGGGTTCTTTTTCCTCTACATCCTTGCCAACCCTTGTTGTTTCTTGTGGTGTTGATTGACTGATGTAAGGTGATAGCTCATTGTGATTTTGATTTGCATGTCCCTGATGATGAATGATGATGAGCATCTGTTTGCGTGTCTGTTGGTCATCCATATGTCTTTGGAGAAATGTCTAAAAATGGGCAGAAGAGATGAATAATCAGATTGTTTTTTTGTGTGTTGAGTTGTAT